TTTCCATCTCTAAAATCTCAATTACTTAAAAAACGCTAAACTACGAATAGTATACTGCTGAAAACAGGCCTCTCAGGTAGCTAATTAATTGTTCTCGCAAAACAAATCAAATAATTTTTGAAAAATTTTTCGGGTTTTTTTTTTTCAGTTTAAAATTTTATTGCAAATTGTCGTTTGTTTATTATTACTTTTTTTTTTCTTTGTGATTGTTTAAAAATTTTTCAAATATTTTTGGAAAAAATATCTAAGGTTGTAAATTCCGTTTTGGTCGTTAATAAAGAAAATATATAATTTTTTTTGGAAGGAAAGAGAAGAGAGGGAGAGGAAGAGAGGAAAGAGTACCGAAAAAAAGACATTATATTAAAAAAAGTTAAAAAGTTTTTCTAAAAAAACGCTTAAGAATTTAAGCTATAAATTTATTTGAAATAGAAGATTTTTTGAAATTTTATATCAAAAAAGCCAACTATTTTTTACTTGCCGTACCGTCAAAATCAATTAGAATAACTCTTCTATAGCTGTATTTGATGGTATTGAAACGTATAAACAAACACAGTTACATAAAAAATTTTTTTAGAATGTGTTAATAAAAGTTTTCATTTCTTGATAAAAAGTTAGCAGGTAAAACTAATAATCAGCTACAGATATACACATTTTTGTTCGCAACTGTCGTCGCAGTATATTCATTTGTTTCTTCTCCTGGTTAATGGACTAAATCTGAAAATTTGGAGAAAAAGAATGAAAGCAGTAGAAGAAAAAGACAAAAGAAAACAAAGGAGGAAAACAGAAGTGTTTTTGTGCTATGACATTGTTGAATATAATCGTTTGAATATACTAATTATGTGAAAGTTGAACAGGTGAAAGATGTCCACCTGCTGAGCGTTATTTTTAGAGCTTTTCTTCTAGCAGTTCCTGTTTTCTGAACACTTCTTCAAGAACCGGCAAGGCAACAATTGTTAGCAAAAGCACAACAAAATAAAAATAATCTTCTTCCTTTTACCCTACTAGAAAAAAGAAAAAAAGAGTATAAAAAACCACATTTTTTTTTTGTTTGAATAGTGCATTTTATAAAAGTATAATTTGAAAAAAAACAATAAGCATCAAATTTTTGTACCTCATTAACTACTTTTTAAAACTGATTATAATAATCAATTTTCACAGTATTACCGCTTTTGAGCTTTTTCACTAGTATAAACGTTTTCAAAAAATATTTCATGTTTCTTCTCATATTTTTTTCACTTTCGTTTTGTTAGAAAAAACTTTAAACTAAACCACTCTGACTAAGCAACATCATAGGAGTTCCTCAACAAGTTGATCCTTCAGCAGCTCCACGCGTAATGAAAACTCCGTCGATTGTTGAGGTTCACGAGGGTCACAACGTGACATTACAATGTAATGCTATTGGTAGTCCACAACCAGCAGTTATTTGGAGACGTCAAGATCGTCAGCTAATTCGTTTTAATGGTGCTACTGGATACGGCAGTAAGTTAAAAGTGGACAGCCCCACAGTTTTACCTTACTTTGCAAAGCAGGCTCAAGTTGTCGTATGATAACAACAATAACAAAAAAAAA